CTCACTTTCTTTGCTTTTGGTTGGAACTTTTCTCTCGATAGTAGTTTTCTATTCTACTTTTTTATGAACTCAAGTTCGTAGGGGCGCTAGGAAAGAGTATTGGTTTTCAAATCTTTCATTTTTCAAACGAATGGACTGAACCAAATTCAATAATGTGAATACTTTTTCATTTTGCTTTGAAGAATAAGGTGAAAGAGGTCAAGGAAGAACATGAAAACACAACATAAAGTAAGAATTTACCTAATGGATTTTTTTCATGCGAATAATTAATATTAACTTTTCTCTGAAAATTCACGATTTCATTTTAGTTTTTGGAATTTTAAAATCCTAATTGTAAAACTGCGTATAGTTTTCATTATTGCGACATCAGATTAGAAATGTTGTTGCATTACTGTCGATCTTAGTTGAAATGGATAATTCCTTGTGTTGTAATGTAATTATAACCATTTCTCCTGTTATAGTTATTTTCCAAGTATTTTTCCTCATAAATCACAATTATATATAAAATTTACTTCATCGTGAAATATAGTTGGTTAAAAATTTTCATGGAACTACTAGGCATTAATCGCGTGCCATGTCTCCGTTTCCATTATTCTCAAAGTTTAAGTCATCTTAAGCTAGCTGTATTTCGTATTTTAGTTGTCAGTTTGTGTCTTGGCTTTGATTGCAACATATTTTCTCTAAGAACTACCTACTCGTTTCTCCTTGCATACAATTTTGCATACAATTTACTTGTGTCTGACGTGCGTGTTTACCTCACCACGTAACTGTTCGTGTGAAACTGTACGTAACTGTACGTGTGAAACTGTACGTAACTGTACGTGTGAAACTGTCCGTAACTGTTCGTGTGAAACTGTACGTAACTGTTCGTGTGAAACTGTACGTAACTGTTCGTGTGAAACTGTACGTAACTGTACGTAATTGAACATAACTTTGCGTAACTGAACTTGTTACAGCCGCCAGGGTCTTCATCCAATATCCTCCCATGCACACGCTGAGAATAGGCTTGCGATGTCGGGCTAAGAGACGACTCTCTATATCTGTCTCCCAATATTGTACAATATTGCCTCTCTTATTACCTATACAAACTCAAGACGCCTTTGCTACCTGCACACATACACAGCCTTCACCCAAGAGTTTACGTTGATACAGAGTTTATGGCTTCAACGTTTCCTCGAGTTTGTTTTCGTTGACATGCCTTTAGTTTGACCGCACCAAATTTGTTCAAGGAAGGTTCATTTTCTTGGTTGAGTTGAGAAGATGCGACTTCTATTTCAATACTGTCTTCATATTATACGTTTGCTAACTGCATCCGGGATTCAAGTCTATTGACTGGAAATTTGTTTGTTGGTCATGGACACTCGACCTGCATTATTTTGTTCATTAGGCAGTAATTCTTAACCTCGACCTCTTCTAGTCTGTAAGATAGTCTATGTCTAGTCTAGTCTGTGTTAAGATATCAAATATAGGCGAAATATATACCGCATATTCAATTCTAAACAAAATATAAGGATTAACTCCGACAATAAATTTTGCATCGATTTCTCATGTCGCGATTGATATTAAAAAAACTATTTCATTTTTTTTCAATTTTATTTCGAATATTATGGAAACCCCAATGATTTTCAGAAGCCTAATTTTGAATTATTCCGTTTCTGGTGAATTCTTGATACTATTTCAAGCCATGAACAAACATCTGCATCGTTAAAGCTTTTGCTTATCACGCTAATGAGGTTAACAATTATCTCATGTCGTTTGGACTATCAATCTATTCGAAAATCACTTACAACTATAATAACTTTATTAATGAATCAATTAGTTATAACTTTTAAGAGGCGCACTCCTCAACTGCCAGCCAAACATATTACTCCTACATTGATGAGTTATATTCATATATTCAATAAAATGTCTTTATAACCTGTTATGATCCTCCTGATCGGAAACTTTCATTCGCAAGTTTGGATCAATAGTCTGTTTTTCATACTAGTTCAATGCTATTAATTCCGTTCAAAGGTCGAGGTTTCCCTGAAAGTACAATGATAATTTACGAAAACTAAGCTGAAAGGTCGTTTGAACTATCATTCTATTCGAAAATCACTTACAACTAATAACTTAATTAATGAATCAATTAGCTGAAACTATTAAGAGGCGCACTCCTCAACAGCCAGCTAAACAAATTACTCCTACATTGATGAGTTATTACCATGTATTCAATAAAATGACTTTATAACCTGTTATGTTCCTCCCGATCGGAAACTTTCATTTACAGTTTTGGATGAATAGTCTGTTTTTCATACCAGTTCAATGCTACTAATTCCGTTCAAAGGTCGTGGTTTCCCTGAAAGTACAATGATAATTTACGAAAACTAAGCTGACGTCATAAACACGTCGTCACCTAATTAATAATACTAGTATAATAATCCAGTGGAAATCTGGAAAGCATTATTACTTTAGACTTAAAATCTTAAATCTGTAACCATAAAGTGCAGAATCGATCAGATTTGCTCATCATACATCGATCACTAAAACGCCAAAAACATCCCCAAGAGCTGCTCCAGTCAAAATGATCGTTTTCCATACACATTCTGGATCAATATATAGAGAAACGAACGAAGTTTCCTTCTGAACATCAATGATTACGGCATTGGCATTAAGCTTGCATTTTTTGTTCATTAAAACTATAATTGAAGTGCCGTTTTTAGACACAGCCACAGAAATATAACTCCTATCTTGGTGGTTTTCGTTGTACATATAAACCCGTTTCTGATATCTCTAATTTGGAACCCCGCTTGAATTTAGAGCCCTATAGTGCTTTTTAAGACTTTCATTTATCACTTGCCCACGCCGAGGTCAGGCCCTGCTCTCGCATTATGATGAGTTGTATTTTTCCTGGCATCGTAAAATAGGGACACGGGATCCCTTCGAATCCTGGCTCTGGAAACCTGTCCAATATATTGTCCAATATTTGGTGCATAGCTTTTAGGAAAAGTGAAAGAAAAATGAGCGCTGTATGAACAAAAAATATTTTGGCATTTATTAAACTTCAAGCACTGAATTTGTATGCGTTTTTGTTGTTATTTACGCTTGTGTCGTTGATGCCTAAATACGCTGTTATTTATACTTAGCAGAAAGCAGACAACAGATACGTAGATTGATGGTGACTACAGCAGGCAACAGAAACGTAGATTGATGATGACTATAGCAGACAACAGATGCGTGGATTGATGATGACTACAGCAGACAACAGAAATATAGATTGATTGTGGCTACAGCAGGCAACAGAAATGTAGATTGATGGTGACTACAGCTGACAACAGATGCGTAGATTGATGGTGACTACAGCAGACAACAGATGCGTAGATTGATGGTGACTACATCAGACAACAGATACGTAGATTGATGGTGACTACAGCAGGCAACAGATGCGTAGATGGATGGTGACTACAGCAGACAACAGATACGTAGATTGATGGTGACTACAGCAGACAATAGATGCGTAGATTGATGTTGACTACAGCAGACAACGCCCTCGATCTTTTCAAGCTGATACGAATATGGTTTCGCTTCTAATGTTTTGGTGGGATAATAATTCTTAAAATGAAGTCATTGAATTCATTTACAAACAATAACTTTAATTAATAATTCGTCATGTAAAATTTAAATTTGTGTGAAGAATTTGTTGTACTAATGGAATCAAAAATTAAGCTTGAATTTTTCATGAAAGATTTTATTCATATTCATATTCATAATAATACGGTGGATACTCCATAATTGAAAAAAAACCCCACCAACGGTTGCGCGCACGCACATGAGGGCATTGGAGAACGTGTAACGTCCTAGGAAAATTTCTCTTGCATTTTATGACGATCTATTCATTTGCTTTCAATAATTCAATGGATATTTCTGCCAATTTGTCACTTAATCTCTATGGTCCATTATTATCGTTTATTGATCTGCGCGTCAAATTTCTCTTGCTAAGCTTGATATATCAATTAACCGAAATTTGTAATTAAATTTGAGCATCTGTTTGTCTCTCAAAAAGGTTTTGCGGTTCGTTTTCTTCCTGAAATGCTTCTAAGTATTAGATAAATTTTCACTTCATGTGGGGATCAGTAGATTGAGCCATCCATCCATTTGGTTTGTTACGATAGTATTCATATCAAAAAGCTATAATTATATGCCGCAATAATATCACAATAATTTTCTTCGATTAATTATTCTCAAGACTGGCCTTACAAGAGCTCGATTTTTTGCGACATCTTCCATTCATTGTTTACAAAATGAATGAAATAATAAATAAAATAAATCTTCATATGGATTTTACATACGCAGCACGAAATCAAATCAAGCTCATGGTTTTCATCATTTAGCAGTGTATTATGCAGTGATATAAACTGCAGTTCTTATAGCTTTGGAATTAAGTTTTGACAGGTACAAGATTTTTTTCAAGTGCAATATTTTAGTATTTATTTTATCTTGGTTTTGCCTAAGGTTCTCTCTTAAATATCAAGTTCTTTTTGCAGCTACCCTTTTCGTGTACCCTAGCAACCTAAATCCACAATGACTCTTTGTATTTTTTTTGTGTGTAAATTTTATCAACATTTTTGAGAATCTTTAGCTCTTCCACTAAGATAACGGCCAACACGGTGAAGCTTGACATCATTGAAATTAATTATTTGATGAATATGTGCCCATTTTTCCATCGATGTTTTATTCGATTTGTTATAAAGAACTTCTCGCGTGATTGAACTGTAAATAATGTAGGCATGTCAAATAATTGAGAGAGAAATAAATAAGACTATATATTAGGAAGGTTATTTTTACAAGGTACATTTTCAGAGGCAAATAACTCACTTGAAACGAACTACTTCGGTTGGTGAAACTGTTAGAAATAAAAAGTTTATATCTAAAATACGACTTCTCGGTGATGCTTAATGGTAGCCAAGTCACCTTCGTTTCTCACATATTCAAATATAAAAGTTTAGTTGAGTGAGTTTCCACCTGACCTGCTAGCAATGGCCGGACTATGCAGTTGTTGGCAGCTCGGCGCCGGCAGTAACGCTGGATGTGATGGTTGTGGCTACAAAATTTTATTGCGAGGAGCTCTCGCTCCTTCGTCAAGTCGACCATCACGGCCACCAGATAGCAAAGACTCGGCCAGCAGCAACAGCTTGGCGTTTAGCAAGCCGCCGCTGCCTCCCCACCGACAAAAGAAAGACAAAACTGACGACAGTAAAAAAAGAGGCGTGGATACTGATGGTATCCTGCAGTCCCATCACCGACGACACTCTCATCCAGTTAGGAGTTCTCCCGAGGCTCCTCCAGAATCTCTTCTCCCCCGCAGCCTTCAAAGACGCAAACTGCCGCAGTCGTCAGCCTACAACGTTCCTCTGCCTCCACCCTCACCTCACACGCTCGTGTCTCTCGTGTCAGCGTGGAACGGTGCCAACCAAGAGGGTTTCTCCTACCAACCTCTTTTGTTGAGCACAATCCAGCCTCCACCTGAACTCTGCCCACCGGCTTCTCCTCTACCCAAATCTCCTCGTACCAAAAATCCGCCCTTTGATGTTTCCTCATTTCTACCTCCCACTGAAAGTTCCGAGTCTCAGGTCACACCGCCCTCACAGACCTCTCCCCTCACCGTCGTGTCGGGTTACGCGTCAGGAGTCTCGGCTTCCACAAGCCTCCAGGTGCGATACCGAGTCCTATCGCTCGCCAGGGCCGCATTTGCAACTCGCTCTCACACCGACCTTAGGCTTTACGATGAAAATCCACATAGCGTTCACAATTCCTCCGATCCCAGGCGTCAAACAAACTACCGACACTCTGAGTATAATCGAATTAGTGATTTTCAATCATTGTCTCGTGGAGCCGAACAGGACGTGAATGGAGTCCACCTAAGTTTAAAGAATTGCGAGACTTCAAATTCCCTCTTGCAGCATCCCATCCCTTCCCAGTACATGAGTCGCACGCTCCCCACGCCAGCCCCTCCTCAGCAACCGAAGAATTATGTTGTCAAGCCTCCCCAGCACATCGATCAAAAGTATCCGTCGTCTCTTGCCTATCATCCAAGCTGGCATGCGCAAAATAACCCACAAACTTTTTCCAATGTTGAACAGTTTCAGGTCAAACCGTCGTATCCTCAAGAGATTTCCGTGCAAGCTTATCACTACAAGCCGGTCGAGCAGCCGCCTCCTCCTCATGAATCTCTACAAAAACATCTTCTAGAAATACAGATGCTGCATCAGAAGCGTTGTCAAGAAGAGTATGATTTCCAAAACCAGCAAAGGCTCGAATTATTTCAACAGATTCAGACTCAACCGCTTCACCAGTCTTCAAAATCTTTGAATCCACCGGAATTTGGCCATCATGATCATTCCAAAGCTCAAGAAAAGAAGTCACATCATGAGAAGCGCCATCATAGACACAAAAGCAGTCGCTCCTGCAATCGAGATGCTGCTGCTAAGGAACGTCGAAGTGAAGTAGCGAGTTGTCATCGTCAAGATAAATTATCGAGACATCTCTTAGTCGACAATGATGAACTGGAGTGCCGGTCTTTGCAATACCAACCGCAGAATGCCTCAGACTACAGTGCTCTGAATTATAGCCAACGATATTCAAGTTTGACAGATGTACAAGACCTGAGACATCAAGAGGAAACGACAAATTCTAGTCGGTCTCGTGAATCCCGGTCGTCGTTTTCCCATCGACGTCGTTCGCATAAACAATCCAAATCACATCACAAAGAGCAAGAAGGAGGTAAACTTCTAATTAGCCAAGGGAAAAATCAGGGTCATATTAGTTTGCCGCCAAAAAACACCCTGCGTGACAAGGAAATCCGACAGCCTCTCCAAACTCAGGTTGATTCTCACGAGCCACTCAGTCTAGAAACACAACCTCCTAAACATAGCCAACCATCACAATACAAAGAACCAATGCAGCAACATCAGTATTCTAACTTTCCACTGTCGTCAGACAACAGTCAACTTTCACGAGACTTGCAAGACCATCACCACCATCAACAGCAGTTGCATACTCCTCCAGGTTTGCATTCACGTCAAAAATCAAATCAAAATACTAAATCCAAAATTTCACACGACGCGCAACGACACGAGACACAACAACAGCAAGAGAAGAAGCCAATATTTCAGCGGTCATCAGAGCAAGCAGCTCACGAGGAAGAGGCGGATGCAAGTGCTACCCAAAGAGAGCAAAACGGCGCCGATCGCGGCAAGGTAAGCCTCCATCCTTACCCACCCGGCGCTCTCTAACCGCCGGGGCACTGATTTACAAATTAACTTTGCTGTTTGACGTTTCCACCCTGATCCTTGCTACAAGTCTACTTTAATGACGGAGCATCGTTTAAGTAATTAATTTTGCTTCCGCTGTGGCATGATCAGTGTACATTGGGATCGAGACACTAGTTCAGCTAATTAATGTCGAATTTTAATTTTTTATTAAGAAAAATACTATATACACTTCCTCTCATGGCCTTCCTGCACCGCATGCAATTTGTTTATCCAGATTTAATTTTTTGTATAACGTACGATGTATGTACGTTATATGTTTTATTTTATTTCCGAAGAAACATAATTCTCAACCTGGCTTTGGATCATATCTACGCATATAATAAAGGTTCAGTTTTTCATTTGCAGTATATATCTAAAATTATGTTTCTAATAGGAGTGGTGTTGATGTTTACCATTTGTATGGCTAGAATTGTATGTGCTAAAGTTTTCTCGTTTCGCACCTGACTTCTATCATCTATTTGCCCACGACAAATTTTTTTCAGGCTATCAAGGTGCCGTTTCTCTAACAAGGCGATATGTAGGAGATGTGACTCTACATTCTTTGAGTGGTACATCTCATGAACTGCAACTAACGTGTTAACTCGAAAAAGGAATCAAAGTTGATTGTTTTTTTCATGTGATGTGCTACTCTTCCCCCAGTCTGTTAAACCTTGGTCTGTTTTCAAACATCAGGAACCTTAGGGTACATCCTCCTACTATGTTTACTCTGCAATTTTATTTCCAAGTCCCTCCTCTGACTTCATTTAAAAAAAGCGGGCGGCGAACTCTATTTCTGGCTTATTAGTCATCCGCTGTTAAGCTGAATGCAGGTGGTGCAGTCAAGTCCAAAAAATTTTGCTGCATTCTAAAAGACGTTTGTAAAGTTTTGGCTATTTTGGCCAATGCCTGTTGAGAGAGAATTTTTCTTAATTCTTGTGGAATAACTCGACAATAATTTCGGATTTGCAGGCCAAAAAGAAACATTTCATCCTTGTTAACAGTTTTGAGTTTTACGACCTTCTTGTCATCATGTTATTCGAAATTCTATTCAAAAGCCGCTATTTAAAAATTTAATCAAGTAAAATTAATAAAATAGATAATAATCTTGTATACAATCCACAAGAATTAGGAACGGACGAGTGCTACGGACGAACAAAATGGTCAAAATGAAACAAATCATTTTCTAAATTTGTTTCTTATTGATTTCTCTATCGACTGATCATACGGTCATTTATTGGTCGGTGAGGTCGTAAGTTTGTCATTGTATCACAGAAAGGAAGCTTAACTCATTGCCCAATTGAACACTTCAAGTACTGAATTCCTTTATCTAAATCCTGTCTCTTATACACATCTAGATGTGTATAAGAGACAGANTTTCGGTCGGATCGTCTGAACTCGAATAATAATGCATATTCATTCGATTAAGTCCAGACAGACGTAATTACGCTATTATACCTTTTGACAGAGAATTTTTTATAATTATGGAACTGTCTTCAAACTGACATATAACTAACACATAAAATTAATTGTCTTCTTACTCTGTCCCTCCGAATTCGGGCAAAATTTGATAGCTCCAATTCAATTGCAATCCATTCTATTCTATTTATCGAGATCGCCCCTACCAAGAACCGCGGTTCTCATACCATCTGCATATTTAATTAAAGGCCACGCGCCTAACGTCCGCTGCTGCCTTCACAGAACTATTACTGAAACATCGTACTAGCATTGGTGGCCACCGAAGCTTCGACGATAACTAAACAGTAAATTACAAACGTGGTATTCAGAATTTCATATGAACATGCCATTTAAAACTGCAATGTACAAACAAGACGGGAATTGGCATTTAGAACGCCTGAGCCGAGCAGTCGTGAAGGATTTTAATGTCGTTTTCGTTAATGTAGGAACAAGGACTATGGCTCCTAGAACTATGCGTTAACTTGGGTTAAGCAAAAAATCTTTCACGGTTTCTATTGACTGGCTGACTTCGAACTCCGAGTTGTTAATGAATGATGAATTAACAATAGAGTGATTCTCTTGCAAATTATTGAGATGTATTTTTTTGGCCAACATATTCTCTTCAATCCAGTAGTATTGGTATTAATTATCTTATTAAATTGTAGGCTTCTTAAATTTTTATATGCGTAATAATGGAGGTTAAAATTAATGGTTTAGTTGTTAGATTGATGGTGTAGTTGTTAAAGTTTGAGTGAGTTACCTAATGTTTTTTTTGTAATTTTTTTATTGTAAGGCCCCTTACCAACAATAATACACTTACACGCCAATGCAACAACAACCATCGGTCAGTCAGAGTTGGTCTTTGCGAGTAATTATTAAATAGCTTACGTGTGCGTGGAAGACTAAAATAGAGTGCATTGTTTTTGAACTAGGGCTGGACTCGCCCATGGGAGACGTTTACGCTTTTTTTTCTATTAGTGTATATGTAGATCCAAGCACGAGTTTCAATGTTGCCATTATTGCTGCAACTCAGCGGTATTAATGTCATTTACGTATTAATTGAATAAAAAAAAGACAATTCATCTGCAAGCATGAGTCGGCATCAGTGCTTTAAATACTGGAGCCTGCGATCCTACATATGGATGGGTAACTTTAAGTAATTTCGTAACCATTGTTAGATAGCTTCAAATAATTCCGTAACAATTGATAGTAGCTTTAAGTAATTCAGTAACTCTTGATAGGTAACTGTAAAAAATTCCGTAACAATTGATAGTAGCTTTAAGTAATTCAGTAACTCTTGATAGGTAACTGTAAAAAATTCCGTAACAATTGATATATTTAATAGAATGTATCGAACAATTCTCTGCTTCATATCACAACATAAAAATACTCTGCTTAACGCGGCATTTGTAGAGGAATACATGTAGATCCAGCTTTAGCCTAAAAAATATCGAGTATCAAGCTTGTCATGCTTATATAGAATTAACGATGTTTCCGATAATGCATAGCAGTGCAGAAAAATTCTCTTTTGGTATTATGTTTTATATCGTTGTTTGAGCTAATATTACGATTCCGCTGTCCGGTTTTAATTACGATCCGGTTTTAATTAGTTAAAACGGTGTTAAATATAATTTTTAGCGCATTTTATCATTTATGGAAAAAAGGCGCTATTGTGCTCGTCATGTCTGTACCCGTCTGTCTGTCCGTGCGTCCGTGTCTTCACGTTTTCGTCGACGAGAAAATGCGCTCTCTCACTCACTGCAGTGAGTACAGAGTTATATATTTTTTTATATTCTGACCCTTTTGCCTATTCGTCAAATGAAGTATTACTTTTCTTAATAATACCTAAAGGTCTTCATCGTGATCATTAGCCCCTAAATTTAAGTTCTTTTAGTTTTTTATTCCTAATAGACGCATAGTTCATTTCGAAGTATATTGATTAGAACGACATCATTGAGGTACGTAACTAATGAATGACGCACGTTCCCAATGCTTTTTATTTATTCAAATTAAAATTATATCTCTCTTTTACTGTCGACTGATAGATTCACATCATTCCTCAGATAATTATCTCTATTTTGTGCTTGTTAGCGCATTTCTCATTTATGGAAAAAATGCACTATTGTGCTTGTCATGTCCGTCCGTCTGCCTGTCCGTCCGTCCGTCCGTGACTTCACATTTTTGTCGACGAGAAAATGCGCTCTCTGTCACTCACTGCAGCGAGTACTGAGTTATATTTTAAATGAAAGTTTGATGTGTTTAATGTTCATCTTTTTAAGGAGTGACGACTTATTGAGTCGTCTGCGTTGCAAAATATCTTAAAACTAATCACCAATCAAAGCACGATCGAGTCCCGATTATTTGAACTTTTTATGCACTCCGAATGACTGATTTCATTTTATACGAAAAATGTTTTGCGTACGATTATAATTATGTCTTAAAGTGAAGTAAATCAACAAATAAATTAAGCGAAGCGTAAATTATGCGGCTCCATAAGTCGTTTTAGAAGGAAAGACAGAAATATGATCTCATCCCCCAGAATTTATGTCTTTAAATTATGTCTTGTTTTTTTAGTTCTTTAACCGCTCGCTAGGTGCACATATATAATTCTCCCTACGGTGCATAAGTTCGAGCAGATTAAGTTGGCTGAGTCAGTCAATGCTGTGCATCTGATGATTAAATCAACGGTAAATGATGACACGGGAATTTAAATTCAATTTATGTCATTGCTTTAGACAGTATGTGAATACTGTGGATCATCAAGATCAATTTCCACATCATCAAGATGTAAAAATTTTTCGAATATTTATATCTATGTAAACCAGTAAAATTTCTAGTAGTTTACACCGAAATGCTATTAGCAGCTTAGAAACTATCTACCTGTGTAATAGAGCTTCATAGGGGCGGCTTTCCGACTCGTGTATTAACTCATGTGAGGTTAACTTGTTTTGTAGTTAGGATTCCCTAACTCCCTTCTCCGCCTTTAGTGAAATGGGCCATTTGTGCTGAAATCTTTCGTTTATTTTGATATTCATCTATCTTATTTGTACATTCATGAACTGAGTTTGAACACTCAGTGAATTTTTTTTAACTTTGTGTTCGTGTACCTCGATTTTAGAGCATTGCCTTTAATGTGAATTTTCAGTCTTAACATTGATGGCATTGATCTGAATTTTCAGTTTCACGCCACTATTGCCTACTTAACTACTTTAACATTGACGATGTTCGTTCACATTCAATAATTGCCGGCTCTTCATAGAGCTAGAATTGACCAAAGTTATAAGCTCTGCGTTATTAAAACATTGACATAAAACAATAGAAAATTGCATAAAAGAACAATGATGATGGCACGACTTTTTCTCTTCCTGCTGATCTCCATGGAGTTCAAAAGTTGGGTTCGGTCACATATGCTATTTTCATGCCAATTAGTCCCGTACTTTGTATAGATTACGAGACTATATGTCAAGTGTACTCTTTTGTGTACGCGTTCAGTATTCCACTGTTTTGAATTTGCAGGCATTTGAACTGTTGTTCAATTATTCTAATTTTCAGAAGGCCAATCCAACTTGTGAATTGTATTGTTTAGTCCATAGTTCTTTAGATGTAAATTTTAGTAAAATTTGTTTTGTTGTATTGTTGTCAATATGAAGCACGGACTCAACTATTTCATTTATGTGAATAAATGATTTTACATTATTCTCTCTGTTACAGAGTAACCGGAGCCAGCCCGCCATTGGCCTCAAGCAGACTCATAAGACAAGGGTGAGTACATTTACAAAATTATTCATAGATATCAACCTTCAACCCCTTGTGTTTAAAATTTCGTTAATAATATGAACTCTTTTAAAACCTATTTTCTCTTATTTTATAGTCCACTTTTTCATTTATGATTATCATTGTCAAAAAACGGGCTCGTTTGGATCGTTAATAAGGTAAAATAGCAAGTCATAATCATCGTTTTTAATAATTAAGAGAATGAACTCATCCAGCATCGAACTCGTTCCTGCACCTATGCATTACTACTATTCTCAGCAAAAATTAACCATCGAAAATTCTACGGCTGAGATATTGAGAACTTGTATTTCTGTCAACGACCCATTTCATGGAGTGCGATTAGTAGAACTAAATTGCTGCCGTATCTTGTGATTCTACCGCTATACTTTGCACTATGTTATTATTGCGCTGGAAAAAATTATTGAGTCCTCCATCAGAAAAGAAAATTTATTTTCCTCCAGAAGAAAATAGTGATAAAAAACGATTTTAGGTATACTATATTCATTAAGCAACAGGGGACGGATGTGTGAATGTCAGAAGAATAGATTATTAGATAGAACATGGAATTCCTACTTTGTAAGCATTTTTTTTCCTGGAAAGAAGTACTTAGTTATTTGATAACATTGACTGGTAAGTGAATTTTTACCCTCGTAGAATACTAACGCATTTTGGTTTCACTGGAAACTTTCGTAGAACGAAGTTGCAACAAATTTTTTATTAGTTTCATTGGAAAAACTTGAAAGGAAGAAAGTTCTACTGTAAACATTTAATTATAGTCTCAATATACCAATAAATATGTGGTATTTGTATTCCTGCATTCATTTTCACTTATTGGGCCGCTTTAATTCCAGTATATTCTCCAGAGAAGGCGCAATAAATAATTTCGAAACTTTATATTAATTAAATTTTACTAATAAATATGTGCATAATTGTTTGACATGAACGGATAATGGTCGTTAAAACTGATTAGGATTTAAATTGCTTGCAATTAGAGCAAGCAAATCTCATAGTCTGTTAAGCTCATTATTCTTCCATCAATTGCTTTATTTTAACAAGGCCATGACCATGTTTCAGCCAGTTGCTAATTCTGATCTATAATTTAACTGTAATTCTTCCTAAAATGCTGAAAATAAGTTTCGTATAATTATTATTCTGTAAAAGTGCGAGAGTTAACGTAGTGTAGAGAAGTGATTATTTGCGCACAAAAATACGTAAATATTTGATGTTCTTTCTTCATATATGCAATTTTTTTCAATAATACACCACTTGATACAATTTTAACATGTGAATGACATGTGTTTTGAACGAGTGTCGCGATTGGTAAAAAGTTCCCTTTAAAATTGTACACATTGACTGTAATCACAATACATATTTCACATAATAAGTACTTATTTCACAGTACTTATTTCACAGTACTTATTCACAGTACTTACTTCTATGTCGTACGAAGAAAAATTTAAAATTTTTTGCATTCCACATTTGCACGACTCGGTTATTCTGCGACGTTTACTCGTTTCGTGAGACTCCCATCATTGTTCATGACATTAATATGACACGAAAAGATCCTTAGGCAAGTTTCAAACTTGATTGCATGCATTTCCATCAGACACCGAAGTAAATGAAACAACTTGAGTCTCCTGTAGTGGTTAAATCTGAGTTTAATTTTGCTCAGTGTTGAGAAACGTTGAATTACTACTCGTAGTGTTGAGATTCGGGCTCAATTCTTCATATGCGTTTTGTTATAAGTTGAATTATCCCTGATGTTAAGATCTAATTTAATTCCCTTTAGTGTTGCGATCCAACTTGAATAATTATTCTAATTGCGTAGCGTTAGGATTAAACAATACTGTATTATTAACTTTTAGCTTAATTTCATTGGTCTTGTTAAGTTGTACTTCACTCAAAACTTTGCAATTAATGCTATCAAAATTTTAAAAGTTCGAACAAAGTTACATTATTCCTGTAAGTGAATGGATTCTTTTTACATAATCACTGAATTTATTCCGGTTGTAGATTCATGCTCAAATCAGATACTTAATAGAATAGTCAATAATTTCAATGCTATTTATATTTAAGGAACAATATTCATTCCTGAATGATGAGGCACACGGCGACTTGTAACGAACTATAAGCTTTAAAAAAAAAATGATGAAAATTCGGGGCATATCTCGCGGCAGATTGAAGGGCGTGTGATCCCTGTACGCCCCCTCACTACCTACACGCTGCGTGCGTGTTGGTTGTCTTTGCATATTGCTGTGCGTGAATGTTTGTATGTGTTTAAATGTGTGCGTGTTTCTTGTGTTTGTCTGCGTTTATGAGTATGCGTGTTTATCTGTGTTTGTATGTTTTCATGTTTCTGTGCGTGAATGTTTGTACGTGTTTAAATGTGTGCATGTTTCTAGTGTTTGCCTGCGTTTTTGAGTGTGCGTGTTTGAGTGTGTTTGTCTCTCTATATATGTGTGCCTATTCGTTCATGTTTATTATATGTGTGCATATTTGTATGTAAATATCTTTGAATGTTTGTGTCGATCTCGTAGCATAACTGCATACTGAGCAGCGTAAGGAACTTTAACCTTGAATTTTGCATATATTGCATTATTTAGTTTTACAGTCGTGGACAATGGCTAACTTTGTGATGCAAAAGGTGTGCCTATAGATGTTCGAAATCTGGCATATTCAACACAACAAGGATGTCACTACGATATAATCTGAATATCTCCTTTTCTGAATTTTTTGTGTGATCTCGTTTGCAAAAATAGTCTTTAAAATAATCATTATGAGTAATGGATTCTTATGTATGCGTTGATTCACTGATAAAATTTTTAAGATTAGTAGGTTTATATTGTCTCAATTCAAATAATAATGTATAATATTACGTTATTGATTACACGCCAACAACTGGTTATTACAGTGTAAAGAATTTAGTGCAATATCCTCTTCATGCAAAAATGTATCGATAAAAATGATTTCACAAATATCTGTCCAATGGTCAGTAAATAACTTCCATTCGAGTCAATATTTTCCACACGATTGCGGTAATTTTTATTTGTGTCGTCTTTTCAAATACGCACTCGATAAATGAGCGAGATTTTGTGAAAAAATTTCGAGGAACATTTTGCGTGGATCATCCTGATCCGTGGAAAAGAGCGTATCAGTGCTAAGTATATATGTTATCATGTGAATATTATTACTCATAATTTTTTAAAGTGCGATGTCTGAGTACAGACGATCTTATATGATAGGTTATTGTAACACGCGCAGACTGTGGCCCCCTGCAGGGTATCCATTACCCTGCTATGCTTTCAACCACAACTAACTAACCATTTCAAGTGGCCACGTAATGAACAACCCATGCAAAAACACTTCAATTTCTCACGCCCCTTTGCCACCGCCTGTGATTGGTGACCGAGCGTTATGCGAGACGAAATTCGTGCTCAACTGCCGCGTGTTCCGATTCATTTCAGCTCCTGGTACGGAACGTTCAAAACTAGTACCTATGTACTGGGACGTATCGATGGACGCGAACTCATATGTATTGTTCCCATGCACAATCATTTTTTTCCTTGACTTGATCATATATAATGCTATTATAGATTCTGAAATAAAAAATTCGTTGGCTCATTATTCGTAATATCCTTTACATTTGACAGACAAATTCGTTGACAGACATATTACAATCAACAACAGACAAATTCGTTTCCATCCGATGTTTAATGAATCTCTGCTGCTAGATTATTAGGTTTACTTGTTTAACTTGTATAAAGATGTTGTAGACACCAGATCGTCCATTTACAATGGATAATATTGATGCTCTTCCAAGCTAGTTTGGTACGATCACTAAGTTTCTTGTACTAACGCAGAGCAGTCAAGTGTGAGCTCTTCATCTCCCTCCTCCCCCGTTGTGCCAGTTGCCGCCAGGACATCGCGCGTAGTGGTTGTATGCGTCTTTCGATGGCGAAAAACCGCCACTGATCCAAATGCCCCTATTCTTAAATATATTTGATGAATTAGTTTCCGATATACATTTATTAAGGACGTATTTTTAACGTTACCTGCATAGTGAGAGCATTTTGTTTGCATTATTGCATGAGCATATATGATTGTTTTGTGAAGTAGCGGTTCCTTAAATGCCAGACAATCACAAACGTTCTTTGATCACGTCAACACATTACTGAACTCCATACTGCATTGCGTCGGGGACTTGAAAGTTGACTAACGCATTGTACGGCCTCAGGCCTCTGCCTGCAAAGTTGAGTGCAAGTGATAAGTTATTCTCCGTTTGGTTAAGATTGTGTATAATTTTTTTCATACAATCTATAGATGGTGTCCATCATGGACTTGAGTGTGCGTCTAGTTTTGTCTGTTAATGAAACATTTTTTAATATTCGTCTGAATGGTCCGAATTTTGCTTCAGTGATGCCAGAATTTTTGTAAGAAATATAACTCAGTTCCTCACTGCAGTGAGTGACAAAGAGCACATTTTCTCGTCGACGAAAAAGTGAAGTCACGGACGGACAGACCAGACGGACGGACAGACGGACATGGCGAGCACAATAGTGCATTTATTCCATAAATGAGAAAATGCGCTAAAAATGTATTATTACGCGTTCACGACCGAGCGAGCAATTTTTAGAAATGTATTATTGAACGTCTTCGTTGATCTCATGGAATAGTTGTTGTATTTGATATTTCTCAAAGACGTTATGTAGTATTCAGATCATACAAATTTATTCGTTGTTGCTTAATTTCGGGCATTTTAGTGGATAATTCATCACAGTACATGTGAAATACGAGTTCAGCTATACTCAAATAGATAATTATTTACTATTTTTTCCAGTTTATACGAGTGTTCTAGAGTTCAGCATTATGAATCTCAGCGCTTTGCCTGTGTGCAAAAATCTCAATTAGCAAAATACGATTAGCGAATAATAGAAATATACGTTTCTGCCTACTCCGAAAAAAAAACGTTACTTTGTACTACCACTTGA